GGCTGGCTGAAGAAGCAGCGCTCCATCGTCAAGAACTGGCAGCAGAGGTACTTCGTGCTCAAGGGCCAGCAGCTTTACTACTACAAGGATGAGGATGATGTCAAACCACAGGTAACCACAGCTCCTCCAGTCCTCACTCTTCCCATTCTTGCAGCTTTGCTCCTCGGGAAATGGTTTGAGATGGGTGTGGAGCAGGGTGTTAAAGGAGTTTTCTGCCTCTGGGCAGTGGCAGAGGTGAGATACCCTGATTGGGAGCTTCATCTGTGCACTGAAATTCTTAAAGAGCCTGTGAGCCCTGCAGCGGGCTTGGTTCCTCTGTGCCCAAGCAACAGGGTGCTGGAAAATCCAGTTACCAACTAGAAAGTTGCTTTTGTTCTCCAAGACAACACAAGCAGGCTGGGGAGGGAAGGGTGTCACTACACCACCACTTTGGGATGGCTGGTGCAGCAATGGCTGGCACACAAGCTGACAGGAGCTTTTAGCCCTGCACCCAGTGGGAAAGGCATCTTACAGGATGCTTTTAGGAGCAAACAAGCAGAACCTTCAGCATAGCCTGGGAGTGAGACTCTGCCCAAGACAGACCTCACAGCAGGGCTGTGGGCGGGGCAGATGACAGTGAAGGACTGCTGCTTCCCTAGGACCTCTTGCCATGGGATAAGCTGAAGGGACAAGGAAAGGAAATCTCTCTCTCCCTGTCCTCTGGGTTGGAATCCCAGCCCAGCCCCAGCCTTTGCAGAGGGCTCAGAGCTGTGGGTGCAGTTTGTGTTTGGCTGCCACCCAAGCCCACCCTGCGTGGCCAGAGGAAACCTGCCCCGTCGCCCTTTCCTCTAAGGGAAACTGCCTGAAATCACTGAATGCTTCAGTGCGTGTCAGTTCTGATGCTTTGAGAGATCCTCAGGAGAGCACAACGTGCACCCAACCCTTTGCACAGAACAGGAGTGTGGTCACCCACTTGGGCATGATCTAAATGTCTGCACCAGTGTCTGATGTCCACAGCTTTCCAGAAGCATCCTCCCATCTTCAGCCCCTCCAGGCTGCCACAAGTCCTCTGTACAAACCATTTCCTGCATTGTAGTATACTTGTGAAATGCGGGAGTTTGAACCCCAAGCCCCTGAATTAAGGTTGACATAGGGGTGATTCCCACAGCCCTTCATCCCGAGAGGTGAGTTTGCCTTAGAGCTTCCCCCAGGGTGCGGCCGGCCCGGCAGGGAGAGCCAGAAGGGAAATGAGCCCCAGGGGTCCCGCAGGGAGCTGACAAAGGTCAGGGGTCTGCTTGGGGATAAAAGCTGGGACCACTGGCAGGGAGTCAGGAGTGTCTGTCTGTGGGGTGCACTCCCCAGAGCTGCCTGGTTCAGGGCAGATCTCCTGACTCTCCTGGAGCTGGGCCCTGGTCTGTTTAGGCCTGTGCAAACGCGGGTCGATCGGGTGAGAGTTGCCATGTGGGCACCTTTTCTTACGTGTTTAACTGGCTGCTCTGGCTGTTTCCCATGCCAGCTGTGGGCACCCTCGGGTCCCTGTTTGTACCCCCTGTTGTGGGCCGGGTCATGTCGTTTGTGGGGTCGTTGGGGGTGGTGTCTATCATGTCTGAGCTTGTTGACTTGTTTGTACCCCCGGGGGTCATTCACATAGTAACATTTCTGTCTACAAGACAGTCTGTGTATTGGTTCATCTCCCTGCTGGTGTTATCCTTTGTGTTGGGCCTGGTCATTGGCAAAACAACTTGCCAGGAGGAAAATAGGCTGTTTTCCCTATTCATATGGATAACTTTCTATGTTTCCAATCATTTTCTCTAGAATGTAACTTATTTTTTTGAATATCCACCATCTTTTCCTTGTTTTGAGAAATTCCAGAGGAAAGTCCTCCCCTTTGCTGGAAAACCATTCTGTGTAGAAATTGTTACTGGTAGCAAAACTAATGTCAAGGTAGGAAACACTCATAAGGGGAAGGTGATCAGGAGATGCTGGGGGTGAAAGCACAGGGCTGAGCCCAGTGGGATCCAGGTCCTGTTCCAGGGGTGACTGGGAGGAGCAGTCTTCCTGGTTGTAAACTGGAGGCAGGAACAGAAAGTGCAGTGGAAACCTTGCTGCTGTGGATGGTGCTGCTGGCAGCTCTCCCCATGCCCCTGGAGCACCATCCTGGGGCATTCCAAGCCTCTGATCCCGGGAATGATTCTGGCTGGTGCAGCTGCAGGTCAGGCTTCTGGAGCACTGAGGGTCCTCGTTGCTCACAGGAGCTTTCAGGAGCCTGAAATCACTGAGAAATTTCATTTCTGTGGCACAGGCACATTTCCTGCCCGGGGAGGCCTCCGGGGCTGACTCACAGGCCTGCTTGGCCCCCACCCATCCCCTCCGTGGACTGGGCTGCCCACGTTTGCCACAACGGTTGGGCAAGGAAGGTCCAAAAGAAATGGCTGGTTTCCACTCTGGTTTTTTATTTCTCTCCCCTTTTCTTCTTTGTCTCTACTCCTCTCCTGCAAACTTTGGGTTTGGTTTCTGGGTTTGAGTGATGCTGTGTCAAAGGAACAGTTTTCCTGCTCTGGTGTAGCAGAAACAGGATGCTTCAGTGTTTTGCCAAGTCCCCTCTCTTTTATAGACTCTTCCTCTACACCCAACAGGGGTTAAAAAAACACGAGAAGGGAGGGGAAAGAAAGGAAAGAACAAAACAAAAGAATCCTTCTGAGAATCACTTTGTCAGAAAAACTTCCATTTAAGAAGTGTCCCTTTTTGTTTCAAAAGTAATTTTTTAGAATGTGTATGTGTATAGGACACCAGGTCCTCAGGCCTGTTTGGAAGCAGGACCTCCACCTGCAGTGCTGCCTGTGGTAGCATCAGCCTGGCAGAGATGGGACCCAGCTATGTGCAGCTCCTGCTCTGCTTTGTCCTAGGGCTGCCTGTCTCTCCAGGGAAGCATCATCAAGGAGGTGGCCAGCAACCCAGAGGAAGGAGGGAAGTTTATCTTTGAAATCATCCCAGGTGAGTCTGCTTCACTCCTCTGTTGAAGGTTTTTGGGCTGGGCTGTTCACCCAAAACTATTTGGGCAAGTAAATTTGCAGGTCCTTTTGCTCCCACTTCTTTTCAAGGTCCCCCCAGCGCTGCGTTGCACATGAAAACTCATGTCTTGCTTTCAACATTTACATGTTGGGGTTGGAGGAGGGCTTGTGTCCCATGCTGAGAAGCCTTCCCAAGCTGCAGCGTTAGGCAGTTTCTGTTCCTCTCTTGCAGATCTTCAGCAAGGGTGAAATGTAAGAGTGCTGCTTCATTTCACAGTCAAATAGACTTTAATGAGGGAATACTGAAGCAAAAGCACTTAGCAAAGAAAACAAGAATGTGTTTTTTTCTGCTCCAACCCTCTCTATATGTGATGCACTGATGTTTTTTTTCAGGGGTTTCTGGAGACCAGACCCGGGCAGGGCAGGACACCTGTGTGCTCATGGCTAATTCCCAGTCTGAGATGGAGGAATGGGTTAAATCCATCCGAAGAGTGCTGGGATCAGCATCGGGAGGTAAAGGGGAGCAGGGAAGGCTCCTGGAGAGGTGATTTCCCATCATCTCGTGGTCTGTGGTACCTTTGTGTGAGGGTTTCAAAGCTGGGCTCATAAAGTCTTGAAACTGGAAAACAGAGCTGTAGTGTGACTAACTTGAAACACCTCAGAAACTTCCTCCTAGAGTGACCCTGTGGTGTTGGGTCTGCTGCAAACATGGACAGTGCTAAGGAAATGGCAGCCAAGCATGAAAGAAGATTTCTGGGCTGGTTTCAGCCTCTTTGAGTACTTCCTCATTGACTTTTTGACCCCAGAAAATGTTCCTGAAAACAACTCGCCTTCTGAGGCAAAGCATTGAAAAATCTTGCCTTCCATGTGCTAATTTCCTCACTTTGCTCTTCTTCCAGCTTTCCCTGTTCAGCCCAGCCCTGCTGCCCCCATTTGTTCCTCACTCTGCCTTGGCCATGCCATCGCCCTCTCATGCACAGGCAAGGCTGGCAGCAACAGGATCCAGCTTCCAGCCCCCTTGGGCATGTGTTTATGCCATTACCAAATTGTGGTCAGGGAAGTATGAAACATGAACTGCTCAGAAAGGAGCACATTGTAAATAGGCCACCACACGTGAAAGCCACAAGGGAAGCAGTGAAGGTCATTCCAGCCACTTTTCCTGTGAGGAAGAGCTCTCCAGACTTTTCCTGTCAGAATGAACCCCTATGAGATCTACCAATGAAGCAGGGCTGGGAGTCTCTTCAGCTCTCTTCCAAAAGAGCATTAACCCAGGTGGTCACCCTTAGCCTCTCCTCTGTGCTTTGCCCTGATCATGTAGATAATTCTTTCATAGGGTCCATGCCTTTCAGCTCTGTAAGACAAGCATGGTGATGCTCTGCTCTCCCATAGTTCCTGTGTTTAGATAAATCACAGCACTTCAGAGGCATGTAGGCACTGCCAACTTGAGCTCCTTCTGCTGTAGGCACAGAGGACCTTCACCTGAATGAGGACAAGGCTGTTTCTCCTCTGCAGCCCTGGTGTTTTCTGCCTCTAACCTGAAACAGGCTGTGCCCTGGGGGAGGCTGTGTTACTCATCTGAAATTAGGTTTGCAGGAGCAAGAAGCTTCCAGGGCATTGCCCCACCTGGCTCTGCTATTTAACAACAACTCTGCATCTGATCCTTGCTTCGACTTAGGAGGCTGGCAGTTTTGATTTATAGTAGTACAGAGAGCCCTGAGGATGGCAGAGAAGTCAGGCACCATGGAGCTGCATTTTATGTCAACACACAGGTTAACAGGCCCCAGAACTTCATGCTGTAGGTTGTTGGCCTCAATACAAGCTGAGGCAGCACGTGCTTTTAAAGCAACCCACCACACAGTGGAAGTTTTGGCAGAAGCCCACCTGGGAGCAGCCCCACGTGCCCCAGCCAGTTGTGAGCTGGTTGCACACCAAAAAGCAGAGCAGCTGCAAAGAGTGAAGGAAAAGCAAAACCATCTCCAAAATCTCAGAGGGGTTTTGTAGGGGTGGCTGCCATCCTACAATGACAACCACCTGCCGAGTGGGCTGGCACGGGCACTGCATTGACCCCTGGGAGGTAGCCCCAAATTAAATAAGGAATTCATTATCAGCAACCAAAGCAGAGAGGCAGAAAAAAAGAGCATTATTTACTTTTCCTTTGCACAATGGCAGGTTTATACTAATTATTTAAAAGGTTAAGCAACTCATAAATGAAAAACCTCCATGATCAGGCAGGTGCTGACAAGCCTTGTGGTTCCAGATGAGAGTGTTTATTGCATTTTCCTGGTCTGGAAGATGCACAGGAATTATTTCAGCCTTCAGAGCATGAGGTGAACACATCACAGGCACTGCTGGGACAAAACTACAGCTGAGGACCATAGGACCCTTCGCCTTTAATATCCCACAGCCATTTTGTATTGGGATTTGTCTGCTCTTACCATGCCCCAGGCTCCAAGGAGGAAGAGCTGGGATGCAGGCTGCTGCATTCCCACCTTCAAGCTCTTCTTTTGCTGCAGGTTCAGGAGGAAAAAGCCATTGCTCCAAAGGAAAGGTACCACCCATTGCAAATGCTGGTCTTCCTTGCACAGGGAGTTTCTGGAGGGTGAGAGGAGAGGGGAGGGGGAAGAAAAGCAACTAAATCAGTAAGACTTGCAGCTCCAAATCTCTGCAAGGCTGCTTTCCTTATTCTTTGGTGGACTCCTGGGCTTTGTGTGATAAGCTTGCCTTCTCTCCCTGTGCCCTCCCATCAGCCTTTTTACTGTCCTTATCTCCCTCTCTGTCCCCACCCTGCTCCAAGGCAGGCAAGCAGCATGCCAAAAAACCCAAAGCTTGTTTTTTTTTCCACTTTGAGAGCTGTTAATTACCTGGAGGAGCAATAAGGTTTCCTTTTGCTATTTCTGTAGAAGAAGCTCTGCTTTCCCCAGTTTGCAGACTTCTTGTAGCTCCAATGTTATCAGAGAAGCATAGGAACTTCTGTGTACTCCTGTCACGTTTGTACCTGATCCCCCTTGATAAGTAATGTGCCTGTAGCAACCCTGGTGGGCTCCTCTAACCTCTGCCCCTTCCCCAGCGGTGTTCGGACAGCGCTTGGCGGAGACCATGGCCTACGAGCAGAAATTTGGGCAGCACCAGGTGCCCATCCTGGTGCAGAAGTGTGCTGAGTTCATCCGGGAGCACGGTGTGAGCGAGGAGGGCATCTTCCGCCTCCCCGGCCAGGACAACCTGGTGAAGCAGCTCAGGGAGGCCTTTGATGCTGGGGAAAGGCCCTCATTCGACAGGTAATGTTGGATTCCCCCTCTCCTACTCAACTAGATCTCATACGCCACAAAATCTGGGAAAAAGCAGCCTGTCTAACCACCCCTGAGAGCCCAGCAGTGCCCTGCAGGAAACTTGGATCTTCCACAAAGCCTTGACAAGGAGAGAGGATTGAGCAAAAACCCCAAATGGAGAGAAAAGAAAAGCAGAATCAGAGGGTGCTGAGATGAGATTGATGGAAATAAATGAAAGCGTTTAGGAAAATCCAGGCCCCACACTGCAATTACCATGTGGAGGAGCAGCCAAGGAAGGAGGCAAAGGGAAGAGCCTACATAGCCCATCAGCTAAGAGCAGAGCTCTAGAGAAAGGGGAGCAAGTAGAGGCTCATAAAGAAGCTCAGAGAACATCCTAATGCACACAGAAGTTACTTCTGTCCCTGCCAGCTCACAGCCACAACATTCTCCTCCTGTTGCTTTTCCCTACAGCACCACATAGAGATGAGAGAGAGACTTTGGCTGCTGCAAGGCTGCATCCTCCTCACCCCCTTCCTCTACAGGGCTAAGAGGAAATGGCAGGTCCCTAAAGCTGGGAGAGCTGCCTGTCCCTGCCCGTAGGGCTCAGGGAAGACTTTGCTGCTTCTGCCATACCCTGTGCAAAATAAGAGCTGTAAACCCCTGATGCATCTCTTTGTGAAGCTCTTCCATGACAGCTCACAGACCTGCTGTCCCTGCAGGTGCCTCACTGTCTCTAAGGAGGTTTCCCATCTGTCCTCACCCCCAGGTCAGTTTAACCCCTTGCACTGGGCCCTAGTTACATAAGGCAGGGCTTTACCTGCTGGTTTGCACTGGTGAAAGCAATTAGCACCTAAAATGAGGCTTTTTGGTTTAATTTCTGCTCTGTCCACCATAACCAAGACAAGGACTGAGCAGGCACATACAGATGCCCAGGCACGTGTATGAAGGTGTTGGGTACTGGCTGTGGGGATGCCCCATCTCTGCAGGCCTGGGGGCTGCCCACAGGGCTCTGAGAGCTGCTGGCAGAATCTGAGAAGGGGAGGGAATTTGGGAGGGAAGCACCCAGAACCCCAGGAGCTTCCCTGGCCCTTTGCAAAACTGAGTAGAATACTGGGGCCTCATCTCTCTGTTCACAGGCTTGTCCCTAACTGCAAAACTTTTCCTGTTTTTAGCCAGCTTTCTGCAGCTTTGTTCAGAAAGCCAGGGCACTCACCTGGCGGGTCCCCAGGCTGTGCAGGGCAGAGCTGCCTGGCTCGGGGACTGTCCCTGTCCTGGCCTCTTGCTTTGCAGCTGAGAATTTTTCTCTTTCTGGGTGCCAGAGCCCTGCTGAGAGCTTTCCTGTTGTAACCTGTGTGGGGGTCATAGGAAGTTGAAGCCCTTTTTCCTGTCTTGCAGAGCAGTGTTCTGCAGTGGGGCATGGCAGGGGTTGGCCCTGTGCCCCGTGGGGTTAACCCTGTGCCACGGGGCTTGGCGTGGGCATCGCTGCGGTGACCCCAGGGCCACTGCCCCCCCCCGCACCTCAATTTCATTTTCTCAGCAAAGGGGAAGGCCAGTGATGTGTTCTCCAGGGACCTGAATACTTCAAGGTGCTGGCTTGACCTTCAGTGTCACCTTGGCAGCCTGTTTGGGTTTGCACAGATGGGCCTGTATGCACAAACGTGGCAGAGTTGGGTGGGGAGCGTTAGAGAGCTGCTGTTGGAGTCCAGGCTTCCATGGTGCCTACTGGTGTGTATTTGTAGGCCCTACAAAAACATAGCTCTGAAAAAATTCCTCTATGCTTATGTGTATTTGTTAAAAATAATAGTGTTTGAAAACCCCCAACCAATTCTAAAAATAAATGACCTGGGGGATTTTTTTTTTGCTAGAAGTTTATAACAGTTTAGCGACTTCAAGGTAGGTCAAATGGGAGGTTTATGATCTTGACAGTGTCCTTTTGACATAATGTAAACTACGTGGTATGCAAAGCTGCAAACATCTGTCCCAGCAGAACATCTTCAGTAATTGCTGTTGATCTTACAAACCCCAGGCAAGCTCTGCACAGCGCGGGGAGCGCCTGCCAAACACGTGAGCTCCAGGCTCTGTTTGCATGCAAGCCCTCAAGAGTCCTCCACGGGCTGGGAAGGCTCAGCCTGGGTATGGACACTGGGGACCTACCACCCCCATGGTGGGAAAAATCTCCACCCAACAGTTATTTTCGTGCCAGCTGAGGCCATTCCCTGGCCTGAGGTGCCCGACGGATTCCCCCCCAGCTCGCTTTGTCCTCCCTATTTACACCTCTCTGCCTCTGGCATCTATACACAGAGCTTTACTGTGATGTCCTGCCCCTGGAGCAGGGCAGGGTTTGCCCACCAGATGGGCCTGAGTCTGAGGTGAGCAGCTCTCTGTGTGTTGCAGGGACACAGACGTGCACACCGTGGCCTCTCTGTTCAAACTCTACCTGCGGGAGCTCCCCGAGCCGGTCGTGCCCTGGCTGCAGTATGAGGATTTCCTGCTCTGCGGTCAGACACTGGACACAGATGAGAGAAAGGTAGAGTTGAGTTGAATTTGTTTCCCTTCTTCTGTCCTTAAAATTACGTTTCAGAGCCAGGGTTTGTGAGCTGGAGAAGCTGGGTGCATATTTAGCTGTGTATCATAAGTTGAGTAATGACTGAGCTTTGCAATCTGGAAAATAAAAAAAGGAGAAAAGAAAAAAGCAATTAAAAAGAGAGTCTCCCAAAGCCAGTGGGGATTCCCAACTTGACATCATGGGTTTATCCATTTTGAAGCTTAAATTCCTGGAGCAGGTCTAAGAGCTGCTCAGCACCTCTTCATCAAGCCCTTGCGGCAAACAGCGAGTGTGAAAACCGAGAGAGGAAGGAACTGAAACCTCCTGCAGCCCGAGCTGAGAGAGGAGGGCTCTGGGTGAGACCGAGGAAGGAAATGGGGATTTGGGAGAGAGAGAAGTGAGAATCATAAAGGTTGGAAAAGACCCTCAAGATTATAGAGTTTAACCATCAAACCAACACTCCCATGACCACTAAACCATGTCCCCAGGTGCCACACCTACACATTTTTGAACCCCTCCAGGGCTGGGGACTCCAGCACCTCCCTGGGCAGCCTGGGCCAAGGCCTCAGCACTCTGCCAGGAGAGAAATTCTTCCTTATATTCAGTTGAAGTCTTCCCTGGCACAATTGAAGCCCATGGGCTTAAACAGATGGGAGCTGTCTTCTCCTAAATACATATTTTGGTGGAAAAGAAACCCCTCCACTGCAAAAAACCCACAGATGGGTGCTGTTCCCATACACAAAGAAACAGGGTGGGCATCCTTGGTAGAGTGAGCTCTGTGAGCTGCAGGGTTCATCCCTGTATTTGAAGAGCCAACGTTTCTTTTAGTCTGTTTCACTGCAGGATCTTTGGGTTTAAAGATGTCCTAAGAGTTTCTATGTAAGAAATGCAAGGAGATTAGGAATGAGCAGCTCTTTCCAAAGAGCTCATCACACTCATGCTGGGCTAGAGGGACCCTGCTCCTTCCTTTGCTGCTGTGGCAGCAGTGGTGCTGGACAATGGGCAGCCTACAAAAACTTCCCTATGTCCGTGCTTGGTCTGCTGGAGAAATGTAATTTCCCAGGCAAGCAAATGCCAAGAGGTGAGACCATACAGGGACAGATGGAGTGACCGTGAGCCATTCTGGAGTCCGTGTGTATCTGTGAATCTTTATAGAGCTCTTTCTTATCTTGTGTTTAGGGCCATCAGGAACTCCTGAAGCAACTGTCCCTCCTTCCCAGAGACAACTACAACCTGCTCAGCTATATCTGCAGGTCAGTCCTCTGCCCAAGTTATGAACTGCTCAGATTTGGTGAGCACAAAGATCATCCCCAAGGCTGACTCCTCCAGAAAGCACTCCTAAGCCTTGTTTTGGTTCCCCTTGAGTCATCAGATCCTGACTTTTATAATGGGAGAATTTCAGCTGTGGGGGGTAAACACCTTATGTCTGAGCATAAATGCCTACCCTAAAACTCACTGAGGAATCCCTGAGAATTAAAATCAAGTATAGTTTTTCTAGACAAAGCCTTGTGCAACAAAACTGCTGGGGTTCACCTAGCTTGGGTGATTTTTCTCTTGTTAGAGAGTAGATGGGGGTTTTCCCTTTTTGATTTTTTTTTAGGTAAGCAGCTCATCACATGGTGGTTTTTCTATCTATACCAGTAAGCCCCAGCTCCAGGTTGCAGTTATAAGGCAATTACGTTTCTGTCCTTCAGACTTAGAGGAGGAGCTGGATGGATTAACCAGGATTTGACACCAATGGGTGTGTAAGGGTTTCTGTAGTCTTCTGACTTTAAATACTTCCCTTTGGACTCTGGCAGGTTTCTACATGAAATACAGTTGAACTCTAGTGTCAACAAGATGAGTGTGGATAACCTGGCAACAGTGATTGGTGTGAACCTCATCAGACCTCAGAGAGAGGATCCTGCAATTATTATGAGAGGTAAAAGGGACTCCTGGAATAATTGGCATAGGAGCATCTGATGTGCTGAAATAGCTGCATCCACAACCTTGAAATTAAAAATTTTCTATGGTAGACCCAGCCAGACACAGTAAGTACAGCAGGGTGGAGTAAAGCCATACGTTAGTTAGGCTATAAATGAGTTTATGCTGACCAAAAAAAAGCCCTCAGGAGTTGCACTGTGTGTTCCCTCCATAGATTCCAAACAATTCAGGAATTTGGTGAAGTCATCTTTTGCTTAGAGGGGGAAGGTGTAAAATTCTTCTTACAGAAACAAAGGAAACTCAAAGAAATTACTGTTTAGCTGAGCCAAACTATAATCCCATGGGCAAAGCCAGATGTAGCAGAACTAACAGAAGAAGTATTTTTAAGGCCAAAGATTGCTCTGCTCTACAGACATCACATGCAAAAAAAATCCCACAATCCCAGCGTGGTGGGGTGGGAAGGGACCTCTGGGGATCATCTCATCCAGCCCCCTGCTCCAGCAGCTCACCCCCAGCAGGGTGCCCAGGGTCACAGCCAGGAGGGTTTGGGATCTCTCCAGAGCAGGAGACTCCACAGCCTCTCTGGGCAGCTGCTCCAGGCTCTGCACCCTCACCCCAAAGAAGTTACTCCTCCTGCTCAGGTGGCACCTCCTGGGTTCCAGTTGGTGCCCGTTGCCCCTTGTCCTGTGGCTGGGCACCACTGAGCAGAGTCTGGCCCCAGCCTCTTGCCCCCCGGGGCCCTTTAGCTCTTGCTCAGCACTGCTCAGATCCCCTCTGAGGCTTCTCCTCTCCAGCTGACCAGCCCCAGGGCTCTCAGCCTGGCCTGGCACAGAGCTGCTCCAGCCCCTCAGCATCTTGAGTGGATCAGACCAACCAGAAAATGCTAATGTGTGTGGGAGGAAGCCTGCCACATGGGGTTTGCTGCTGACAGATCTTTGATTGCTTCCAGGCACACCCCAGATCCAGAAAGTGATGACTGTGATGATAAGTGATCACGCAGTCCTCTTTCCTCCATCCAAGGATGTGCCACCCTCTTCACCTGGCCAAAAAAACGACAAGAAAGCCCCCATCCCACGCAGCTCCGTGGGCTGGGATGCTGCAGAGGACCCTGTGGTGCCCAGGGCAGAGAGCTTGATCCAAAGGCAGATGGTAAGGCTAGAACCTCAGAAAAATAATGAACTGCAAATTTAATAAATCTGTCATTAATTACAGTGGGACCTGACAGGTCAGCAAGCCACGTGGAGCACTTGCTGTTATTAGGATGAAGAGCTGTAACTGTCATCCCTGGAATATCTACATCAGGAAAATGATGTAGAGAAACTTTCCACTTTCCTGTGGAAAATCTACTGACCTGGGAAAGAATGAAAACTCCTAAAGTGTTTTAGCTAAAGGGCAGAATAGATGAAACCTTTTCAGTTCCTCCTGGTGACGTGAAAACGTTGATGATTAAAGGCTTTTCTCAGAAAGAAAGAATCTCTGTAAAAGATTCTTTTTAATGGAAAACATGGTGCAACCCGAAATAGTTTATTTTTTTTGTGGAAACCTTGTGGCCATTCCTGTTAGCATGTTCAAATGTGCTGCTTGTAAATGCTGCAGCCACAGCAGTCGCTGGCAGAGCAGGACGGGGCTGTCCTAATGCCTGGGGTCTCTTTTGCAGAGAGGTGACCTGAATCCCAGCAGTGCCCCTGGACCAGCTGCGAGCTCCACTGCACCCAGAGGAGATAACGGGTCCAAAGATACACTGGGAATGTGGAAAATGCAGTCAAGGAAAAGAACTCAGACTTTACCTAACAGGAAAACGTTCCTGGCTGCTGCTTCTCTGGGGGAGAAAGGTGGCAGTGGCAGGAGTGACATACTTGGCAGTGACTTTTGGAGAAGCTCCCCTGGGGGCAGCACGCGCTCCCTGGCCCCCGAAGGACACAAGAGAACCTTGTCTCATGATCTTTTTAAGCTCCTCGACCTTCACCGGGCTTCGACCTACGACAATGTTCCTGCCTCCCAGGCAGAAGGTGGGGAAGGCAGTGGCTCCAGCCCCAGCCCTTCGAGCAGTGGCTCTGATAAGGAATTTCTACCCTGCCCCAGTCCCAGCCATCAGCCAAAGGAAACAGCCAGCTCCACCAGCAGCCCTACCGAGGTCTCCAAGCCTGAGGAAGAGAGCAGGGAGTTCCTGCAAAGCATGATCCTGAAGCTGGAAAAAGACATGGAGCTACAAAGAAATGACTACGAGGAGCAAATTAAAAGGTAACACGCTGCAGAGTGGTGCTGTCTGGAGAGCATGGAGTCTTCAGCTCAGGTTATTGCAACATTAGTGTGGCAGAGATTTATTTACCAGTAATACCATGTAGGATAGAAATGCTTCATGCTAAAATACACTGTTAGAGTAGTCTAGAGTTGTCTAAAAGGCAATTCTCTCCTGCTGTACTCTCATGACAGAGCTGCTAGTATTTTACTACAGTAGGAATACTCTGTACTTCTTACTATACCATTGTATGGCACTGTAATGTTTCTGCAACAGCTGCACTGTCACAATTCTTGTTGTTACTGCAATATTGTACCATTCTGCTATCCAGAATTCAGTAGTAGCATTATGACATTTTTGTAACCATCAATCTCATATGGCTTCATAGATCGTTGTCATGTTCTTATAGATGATGTGTGTTGAGTTGCTGCCTCATGTAATGTGGCCACTGAGAGTCAAGGGTCAGGAGAGCACCTCTGGCTGATTTTATTGCTTAAGGAAACAGAGGGCAGACTCCTGAAGAGCCAGAGGCTGACTGCCCAACACTCTTCTGATCCAATCTTTTCATGTTCCATTTCTCTTTGCAGTCTCGAGAAGGAAAACTATGAAGTCTGGGCCAAAGTGGTGAGGCTGAATCAGGACATAGAGAAAGAGAAGAAGAAGTCTGAGGAACTGGAGCTGAAGTTGATGAATGCAGAGCGCTCACGGGAGGACATGGAGAAGAAAAACAAGATGCTTGAGGAGGAGATAAAAACCTTAGCTAAATCCACAAGCAAAACTGATGCCAAAACCAACTAGGAGAAGACACCCAGCTGTGCACAAACATACAATGCAGCTGCGTGAATCCCCAGGAACTGCCAAGCAGGTTCAGAGCCACGGACCTGTGCTGTCTGGTGTTCTGCTGCTGACTGCGGGCTGATTCGGAGGAGGGAGTCCAGAAGTTGGAGGCTGGTTTATTAGAAGTTAGAGGCTCCAAAACAGGACATTTCAAAAATATTCTTCAACTTTTTTTGGTTTGTTTCCTTCAACTCCTCTTTCAGCTGCTCAAGTTACCTGTCAAAGAAGCCAACTGACTATCTTGCATTCAGGAGTTCAGGTTAAGGACACATTAAGCCTTTATGAAAAACCAGCAAGCAGCTCTCCTGCCAGCTGGCTGGTTCCTTGCTGGAGACACCCACAGCACTTCCAAGTGGAACAAAAAGTCCATAAATCCTGGATCTGGGGAGACAGAAAAGCCTGAGGGTCTGGGGTGGCACAGCCCATCACGCGGTGTGCCTGAATGGTGGGCTTCAAATGCTGTTGGCACCACGGCTGAGATGTTCACATCGACACACAGGAGCTGGTTATTGCTCTTATAGAGCAAGAGAAGCCCAGACAGCTCGTCGGGTGCCCTGAGAAGAGACCAGGCCTCCTGCAGCATCACTCACTGTGCTGTGCCAGACTCATCGAGGCTCGAGGTATAAGATCACAGTATCATAAAACCTCTTTAGCTGAGTGGCTGTTCTGTTATTTTAAATCACTGTTCCTTATACCCCTGTGTACATAAACCCAGCTCAGCTGCTGGTGGGGCTTTGGAGAGCACCTTCATGCATCCACACACAGAGCTCTTTGTGCAGGGGAGTCCATCAGAAGCTTTACCTGCTACAGAAAATGGGGTTTCTGCATTTTCACTGGTGGACAGTTTTCAGTGAATAACAGATCTGGACTTATTTAATGCCTCTGCTTTCGTTTTTGTTTCATCATTTCATCAGCACAGAACAGGATTTCCTCAGCCAGCTTGGTGACAACGTGGGTGTGCACCCCAGTGGTGGTGTTGGGTCTCTCCTTTTTGCTTGTTGTCATCAGCATACAGACTAACTGGACCTGGAGGGCTCATGGTGCCAGTGTGGCTGTCTGGAGACTTGTCAGCTTGTTGTCCCACTGCTTGCCAGAAAGCTGCCCTTCCACCATGCTGCTGAAGCTTTTGGTGAAAGAAAGAAAGACACAGGACCCTGCAAGAAAACCTTACACTCCTCATTTATGTTAAGAAGAAGGAACAACGACACCCAGCTTCAGCCCAGCCCAGAGCCTTCATGGAAAGAGAAAGGGAAAACCACAGAGATCTGCAGGAGTTTTCCAGCAAGAAGTCTTGTACCCTATAGGTGCCTCTGTGCCAAGCACAGTGAGGTTAATGCAACAACACTTGATTACTGCTGCTGAGGTCTTGGGTTTGGTGACGCAGAAGTTCAGCTCAAGGCAGGCTGCAGAGCTTGGCAGAGCCTGCAGAGGAAAACAAAGTGGTGAGAGAAAGAGACAGAGGAAACTGTGTGGAAAAAAGGGAGATGGGAGCAGGAAAATGTTATTAGAGAGTAAAAGTCAATATTGGGTATATAGCACTTGCTGCCATCAGCCTTGCAGTGGGGGCGGTGCCTTGTCTACCCCTAAAACTGAGCCCAGACTCCTTAGTCTCAGACTTAGACTCAGTTTGGAGCACTGAATCCACCTTTGTTCAGCTGTAGCCATGAAGTGCTGGTAAAGGAGAGGTTTGTGGAAGTTGACTTGCATTTAAGAATCGGACCCATAACTAGTGCCCTCGCCCCACAGACACTGACCCCGGGTGGTTTTCCTTTCCAGAGGATCCCCAGAGACTAGGCAGCTCCTCACAAAACTTCACAACAGGGAGTTCAGTTCTTCCAGAGGGCTGCGTGGGGTAACTGCAAAATCACAGCACCTTCCAGAGGACCCACAGCCAAGGCCCTCTGCTCTTGCGATGTTCCAAAGCTGATTAAAATGTTTAAAATCTGAAACCTGGTAATTTGAAATCTCAGTGAGGGTCACTGTACCCCTTTGCACTGGACCAAGGGGGCTGGACCTGCTGGCACAGAGCTCTGCAGCCCACAGCCTTGCAGAGGGATGGGCAGCACAGAGAAGAGCCCCCAGGAGGACACTGTGGTCTCCACCAAGCTTAGTCACCCTCAAAGGTGAGCTATCCAAATCTCACCTTCCCCATCCCCTGCATGTCCCACACACTACAGCATCCTGAGCTGACACCTATCTTGTCTCCTGAAGTGTCTTTCAAGCACCACTAACACCACTGATGCTGCAAGTCAAAGTCCCCACCACACACCTATGGGACCCACAGTTTCCCAACACTCAAATCAAGTGGTTTCCAAAGTGCCTGTGAGATACATTTTGCCTGTCACCATTTCAGAGCAACTGTTCCCATTCATGATTCTTCTCTGTGACTTCACATGACCTTGACAGAGGTGCTTCAGTATTTATTTATTTTTTTACCTTTGCAAGGAACTCATGACTAATCTGAGCATGAGGTTTAGGAGTCATCTGGGGAGAAACTCCTGCATCAGGTCTAGGAGGAAAGTTGTGAACATCTGGGCTGGAAATGCAACACGCTCCTTTCTGCAAAGATCGAAAGTGTAAGGAGGGAAATGAGTCCCCCACGGCCCGCAGCAGGCTGTGGTGACGTGAGCAGGCTTGGCTGAGCCTCCCAAATCTCTGTGATTAGGACAAGTGCACATTATTTTAGCATAAACTGTGCATTCCTCCACTTCCGCTGCAGATAGGCACAACAACCTCTATCAGACCAGGACTGTTTCTGAAGATCAGAGTAACTTCTTTGAAGATATTCTGCCCATTAAAATGTTGAGTGTTTACAGTGGTCATATTTAAAGCATAGACTTTCCAATAGAAGGAAGTGGTGGGCTGGAAATTCCTAAATGTATGGGGGGAGCAAAGAGCCTCAGAGAGGGCAGAGTTGCTGTTGGGTGCTGTAAGATAATGAGGGTTTTCCTTTTTTCTGAAAAGTGAACTTTTTCCAGAGACAGAGAAGCGTGGAGGTGCCTGTGTCAGACCTGCAGGAGCTCTGCAGCCCTGAGGGGACATCCTCTTGGCTCAGCCACGAGAGGTTCACAGCCACACCTGAATTTCAGCAACGCCCAAATCCTCCTCTGGATTTCATGTACTTTCAGGTCTTCTGTTGCATGAGATCCCCCAAAACTGACTGATGCAAAACCTACACTTCCTTCCCCCCTCTGTTTTTGCAGCTGAGTTGTTTGGTGTCTGCCTCTCAGCTGAGCAGGCTCTAAGCACTGATTCTGGATAGCCTAGAAAGGGTGAAACTACTACTATCCTATAAAAGAACAATAGACTTTCTTTCATACAGAATAAAATCTGTAGAAAGATCCTTTTCAACCCTGTCCTGGGCTCAGAAACTGCCCCAAATGTGTTTTTTACCCCTCCTCAACCCTCACACTGCAGAGCCCACACAAAGGACACAAGAACTTCCCCTTCAAGGTGATAGGGGTATAGGATAAACCACAAGACATACTGAGGATTTTCCTCTCCCTTTAAATGTGATGTGGCTTTCTAAATTAGAGAAATTAAAACCACAGATCTGAATGCATCTAAAACTGTTAAACCATGTGTTATGGGGTGAAAAGATGACATCTATTAAGGTTACAGTTTCAGTGCTCTCACTCTTGCATTCTTTGTGTTAGAGGAAAAAAAACTGGTTTGCTCTTTTTAGTTATTTACTGCATTCATTTAGGATTTCACTTCATTGTATCCAGGCGTTTGGTAGGCGTGAGAGGCAGGAAAGTAAAATTATCCTTCCCATATTTTTCTCTTTGGATACTGATCCAGTCACGCTTATGATGACTTATCCCCTTGTATTTTATCAAAGTTGCATTTTTGGCACGATAGGAACTTTCCTTTTTTAGCTTGGCTACTGCATAAAATAGCAAGTGGCTGTGGGAGGCGAGGTGGACGTGAGGGAAGAGTGTCCAGCCACACTTTTGGATGGCTCATGCAAAGGAAGGAAAAGCAGCAGGAACATGTCGTTCTCCCCAGGAATGACAGTCTGTCCTTCCTTTAGATGGGAGCTGAAAGATACCCCCAAGCTGGGCTGCTTTTAAGAAGAAAAGACTGCTGAATTAGGACTTTGTGTATAAATAACTGACCACCAAGGTGGGGAGGAAAAAAACCCCAGACTTTCATCCCAACCCTCCCTGGCAGCAGTCTCCCTGCCCCACTTTCGCTGTGTTTTCCTGCCACCTTGCTGCAGCACAGTGATGCTATGAGACCAGGTGGTCAAACTGGACTGCAGGAAAAATAACCTGGCAGAAATGAGCATCCTGATAAAGCAAGGACCAACACAGGACAGGAGGAAGCAGCCAGGGCAGCAGGGACAGGAGCTGTCTGAATAAGCACTCCTTTGGGGAAAATGCTTGTCTTTTCCAGGACAAAAAAGCTTCGAGTTTAGAAATTCTGAGTTTCTCAAGCAGGGGAATGCCCTGAACGCTCCCATGGTGAGCACTGCACCAAGGCTCCAGCTGGGACAGCTTCTGCCTGGGACGATGCACGCTGCCAGCAGCGCACTGCACGCAGTCTCCACTGGGAACACTTTGCCCTTCTAGCTGTTTCCCTTCACAGAAGTTTTCTCAGCAAGTCGTTCCCATAAGCAGAAGGGCTCTGCAGTTAACTGGGGACTTGATTTCTTAAGAAATAAGGCTTATAGCCTCAGCTCTCAGGTGAGCAATATGAATTTGGCTGCAGTTTTCCTAGCAGATGGGGCAGAGCAGAGACCTTTGTGGTGCTGCCACTGCGAGACTCCAGGCTGTGCTCGACCTTCAGCAGACACCAGAGAATTCACCAGGCTAAAAAAACCCAACAAGCAGAGAGCCCAGAGAGAAGGAAGCATCCTGTTCACCCCTCGGGTTCGTGGTGTGAGGAGGTGTTATGAAAAGCCCTTCCCTCTTTGTGCACAGCCCTGTCCAGAAGGTCTCCCTGGAGGGGACCGACGC